ATATATATATATATATATAAAGGAATACAAATGTATTTCTCGTTAGGTAACATTTCCTGTACGGCACCTGTCTGGTGTTTGTGTGTATGCCGTGTGTACATGTGTGTTCAGTGTGCTGCCGCCACTGCCACCATCTTCCACTCCTTGTCTCTTTTTCTCTCATCTGCACCACGGCGGAAGTGAGCGACTCTGTGCGCGAGCGGAAAATAGAGTGTGAGAGGGGATTTCTCTTTGTGTGTCTGTGTGTGTGTGTGTGTCAGTTTCCCGCCCAGTGCAAGCAAAGTAACGCAAAGTGGGGAAAAAAGGGAGCACAAACAGCAAGAGGTCCACTATCGTCACAACACCAACAAAACAACAATAACAACGGTATCACGCTAGGTTATTACCAACACTGCAGGCCATATAGTCTACATTCTCACGCTGGGTTAATAGGATGCCACCGAAGGTGGTTTGTGTGCACCGAGGTGCCGACGATGTCGCGAACGCCTTTGGTCTTCTGGACGAGTCACAGGTGCAGCTGCTGTACACCAAATTCCCCGTAGGCAACGGGACCTTCAGGCGCAACAAGTTCATCTACGTTATGTTCATTGGCCCTGGTTGCAGCGTTGTGAAGCGTGGGAAAGGCATCGCGGAGATCAATCAATTCAAGAACACTCTGCAGGGCGCGGCGGGTATTACAACGACAGAGAAGTCTTCGCTCTCCCTCTCCAGTCTGATTCAACTAATGCGAAAGGTGTTCGTCACTGACACCGGTAACTTCTCCCTTGAGAAGATTCAGGAGGACTACAAACACTGCATCCAGGAGCAGCAGCTCAAGATGCAGCGCGATGTCGTGGTACCGCGCAAGCCGGCGCCACAGGCAGTGGAGGAGGAGGAGGAGGAAGAGATGCAGAGTCTCGCCTCCCTTCAGACCGCCATGCTGAATAGCATACCCTGCGAAATCGACGACAACGCGCGCAAGGTCCTTGACGCGCTCCACACGGAGTTTGGCCCGCTCAACTGGGCCACCTTCGACGCCAACCCCGTGCACCTCACGCTCGTCGACGCCGGAAACGGCGGCATCTTCGAACTTGTGAAGCACCTGCCGGAGACGAAGTGGCTCTTCGGTTTGTTCCGCATCACGCTCGGGAGGGGAGAGCAGCGGCTTTCACGGCTTATCTTCTTTCAGTGGATTGGCAGCAAACTCAAGCTGGTGCGTCACGCACCCACGACGAGAATATTCCCCAAGATGGCATCCATCCTCGCCCCGTACGAGTACGAGGTGTACCTCGTCGGCACGCAGGACCTGAAGCCACAGGCCATCATCAACAAGTGCCGCTACGCGTTCGGCAACCACCACCTGGGCGAAAAAGCGGCCGAGGTGACAGACGGCAAGCTGCGCGACATGAAGGCAGGGCTGCGCCAGACCGCCTTCGCCTTCACGGAGGAGGAGTACAGCGCCGCACTGCAGGAGGAGAGGAGCAAGATGGATCTTTCCTTCGACTTTATCCGCCCCAAGAGGAGGCGGGCATCGCATGTAGTCGCAAATGGCCAAACCAATGGAAATGGCGGCCGCATATTTGAGACACAAGAGACACTGCAACTCATCGGCCAGCCGGAGGGCGGACTCATGTGGGGCATATTTGAGGTGCGGGGATGAGAGAGAGGTACCTCGGATGGAAATAATAGTATGAAGAATGAAAGAAAAAAAAAAAACAATCGGGAAAGACACCCAAGGAACGAAGATGAGATCAGCCCCTCCATCTTCCCAGAGAAATATGAAAAGTGCTCAGCTAAATATGAGAAGAATGAGCCCAATGATAGTAAAAGAGCAAAGAAAAGTAGATAGGCAATGAAAATTTGAGTTTTTTTTGGGGGGGAAATACCAATGAAAAAAAAACGACGGCTGCATAGAATGGTAGATGGCCGATTTGAAATGAAACAAAAATGGCATTGGATGTGTAAATATCGTCATTCTTGTACCACACACACACACACAAGTTGTCACTTGTAATATTTCTTGTGTGATGTTATTGAGAGTTCCCAATTGACTATGGGTGTCGTATTGCTGCAGCTGTGTATTTGTTTATGTGAGTGCGACAATGAAGTGGATTGTTAGTGTTGTTTATATATATATATGATTTTTCCACAGCGCACACGTATTGAAGTCTCTTTTTCTGTGGCCCTTGAACTCCACAAAAAGTGGAATTGAAATGGGTGAGCAGATTGAGTGAGTTACACGTGTGTCTCTGTGCCAAGGCTTTTCCTAAAACATTGTTCATGATGTGTTTCCCTCACCTACTATCTTCCTCCATGTTTCGACCCTCTCTCACACACACACACTCTCTTTCGCTCATTCTAAAGGCCCATTTCCGTTCAGAGTATTTGGGTCCATTGGGCTGACTCTTGTGGGGGCCGCCCCACGCTTTCCCGGTGTAGTTTCATCTGTTTCGCACCTTCTCCTACAAAAAGCCCGCCAGGCGCCGAGGAGACAAACAACGCCGAGGGGGAGGGGGCATATGACTTTTCGTTAACGAAGGAAATGAAGAAAGAAGAGTGCGCTCAAGGGAAGGGGGAATTTAAAAAGAAAGGAAATGAGAGAAACTGGGGTGGGCGAGTTACGCTTGAGGGAAGGCTGTGGCACTTCAACCCCACCCAGCCACAGAAAGAAAATTTTCCACAAATGTGTTGTTTCCCCCTCTCTGGTTGGCCTTGTTCGAGCCCAAATGAGAGCCAGACGAATCAATTGGCTTCTTCGGCCCCCACCTTCTGTTGTCGAACCCCATGTTTACTTTCTCTCATTCTTTTGATTTTCTCTCCTTCTCGCTCTCGCACGCATTTGTCTTTGGTCGGTGTGTGTGTGTGTGTGTGTGTGTGTGTTTCATCTGATCTACGCAGGAAGTGTAGAAAGGGGAAGGACGGGCGACGCAGTGAGGACTTCGTGTGCCTCCTACGCAACTTCTATATACGCCCCCTCGCACCTTCCCTCATATTTTGCAGAAACGATGATGCACACAAGGCGCTCTTTCAGCCCCTCCCGCACATTGCCCCTCAAGGGAGTCCAGCACATCACGTCACCCGCTGTGCCTTCCGTGGTGTTGGGCAAGGATCATCTGCCGCAGCTGCCGTACACCCCAATTTTACATGGCGAGTCTGGACAAGGTCTCTCGGAGACACTCCGTGATATTGGCCCTTCAGCCCGGCTTCTTATAGGCCTTCAGACCAAGAATTCGACGCGTTCAGATGGGATAAAGAGAAAAAAGGCGAAGTTTGGTGGTGGTGGTGGTGGTGGAAAGGGCAAGAAAGTCTCAGCAGATGCGCAACCAGTAGAATTGAAAGCCACAGCTGCTAGTGAGAACAAACCAACCGCAACAACGTTGCCAGATACCTTAGACGAGGGGATAAAACTTCCCAGTTCACTCAAGGCGTTAACTTTTTGCGGTGGCAGACCGACCAAGGCCTTGACAGCAAAGGCTATGGATTTGACCAGGGGACTGAACCAAACTTACACGGGCACGAGAGACACATCAAATACGCTGACAAGCCGCACTGTTTCGAAAAAGATGCTCCCCCCTCTTGCTGTAGTGCTGGAGCAGTATATTCAGCGCGAAATGGGGACAACACTGGATGCTGATGGTATCTCCTCCGCACAAAACCGTCTTCGACCCTTCCGTGAGGCGTTTTATGCCTTTATTGATTCTTTTCCTGCGTACAGTAAAATCCTCAATGACATCATGACCGCCTACGACAATGTCATTCAGGAGCAGGCTGGTATGATTGCCGATGTAATTTCGGAACAGGGCCAACACCAGCTCGCAGAGGAGCAGCACCTGACTGAGGTTGCCGAACTAAATAAAGTCATCATGGAGTTGACGGCAAAACTAGAGGAAGCGCGCAACTCACTGGACGAGAGAGAGTCACTTCCACCCTCCGCTGACGAAACGAATGAATCACCACAGCAGCAACAGATGGAACCGCTCCGGACGAAAAAAACATATAGTAGCAGGGACAAGTTGTTGCTTGAGGCGCTGCAAAAGATAAAAAAGCTGGAAGAAGTTAACAAGAGTGATTTGGAGAAAACTCTTGTGCTTATAAATGCGATACGGGAGAGCGATAGGCGGGCCAAGGGACTAGAGATTCAGCTTGCCGCTACCGTTGCCCAAGTGGATGAGCTAGACGAGTTCAAGGTGATGGCAGGGGAGGCTCAGAAGCAGCTCGAAGAGTTTAAACTGAAGTACCAAAATTTCATCTCCGTGCAGGACCACGAGCTTATCAAAGAATATCTCTCTGGAGAGCTGCAAGCAGCACAACATATGGCCCGCCAGTATCGACGTTCAGCAGCCGTGCGAGGCACTCAAGTGGACGTCATTGGACGAAAGCTAAAGGCACTACAAGATGAGAATGAGCAGCTCCTTGAGTCCGTTGAAGACGAGCGACGGGAGCTTCTCACACCTCGCCCGGACTGGAATAAGATATACGCGTCGCTCCCCGATATCAAAGAGAACGCTACCTCCATTGAGGCCCTGCCGCTTGAAGGCGATGAGGCCATCACATCCAATGTGACTGGTCTGAGCGAGACAAGGCTTCAGGTTGAATACCTTGCGGAACGCATCAACTCACTTACGCAGGAACTGCAGCGACGAGCGATGGTGCCCATGCCGACGCAGACGCCGAAACTCCCACTCATTGGGCAGGGTGTGGAGCCTCGGGTTCCGCTTTATCTTAGGGCGTGTGGTATAATTCCCCGCGTGCCGCTGGACCCAATGGAGGTCCTGTACCTGGTGCACGACTTTTTCCAAGAGGTGCTGCAGCCCCATCCCGATGTACTTCTTTATACACTCGACATACCGCCCCTTTACTTGGAATTTTTACTGGAGAGGATGGGAAAGAGGGAGGCTCTGAAAGTCTTCGTTTGTGCGGAGCATCTTGCTATCAACCTCGCTGATATGGCTAATGATACAGGGCGCTCTCGACCCTCCTTGTTGCTGCTGGATGGCATCCTGAGGGGCGTCTTTCCCGCGCGTATTGCCTGCGATGTAATGATGGTTCTGGAGAATGTGCGGTCTGAGCTCCAGGGCCTCTCAGAGGCACAGAGAAAGACACGCCTTCGCCGGACAGCGATCAGCGATTGCATAGCACCGGTGTTACAACTGAAGTCTGTGGAAGAAATTGACCTCCTTAAGGATGCGCTGAGCTCCGATACGACCCACGACGTTGTGGCGTTGAACTCCACCGGGAGCAAGTTCATGTCGACCCTTATAGAACAGGAGTGTGCCTCGGGTATGGTGTTTTACACAAGGCTCGTCGAAAAACTCACCTCATACGCGCACTACCTTGAACAGGAGGGCGCGAATTTGGTCATTTCCCTTGATGATGTAGGACGGGCAATCACCGAGGTGGAGCCGCTGACACCGAAGCCGATCATCAAGGAAATTACGGAGAAATTTTCCGACACCATCGAGGAGGGGAAAGAGCAGACGACGCGTTTGAGTGAGGTGATACATGCCTTGGCGGCGGCCCCAGTGATCCGCCGAACAACCCATCGGGCGGCGGAGTGCGGGGTGCTCTAGAGAGGCATAAAATGTGGGTCCGTCACGGTTTTCCAGGAAACTTGGCACAAGAGTTATATCTTGCTTTTTTGTCGTGTTCTGTGTTGTGTTCGTTCTCATTCCTGTTTTTTGATTCGCTTGGCATGGAGTGAAAAATGGCCACCAACGCACCAAACTCTCATTTACCATTTTTTTTATTGTCTGTGGATGTACAATGAGGATGCATAATTTTTTTTCTGGAGCAACTCATCCAGCACTGGGAATGTGCCACCTCGCTTCTACGCGCCGCATTTATCTGTAGATGTGTGTGTGTGTGTGTGATGTCAATCCTTTGTTCCTTTGGTTTGAGCATTCTTTCTCTCTCTTTCTCTCTTTCTTTCTCTGTGTGTGCATGTGTGTATGAAAAGGAGAGAGTGGGAGGGACGAGAAAGAGCCCGTGTGAGTATTTGTGTGGTACCGGTGAAAACATAGGCAGTGCACGCTATGCCCACCAATCCCTCCCACCACCACCACCACCAGGAGCATCAAGAGGCTGCATCATCACCGCAGCAGCCCCAGCCGCCTGAATATGGGGAGTATATGATGCATGGCGCGTACTACGGCTCACCTGCACCTATCGGAAGCCTGGGGACGCCCAACATGGGCATCCGTATGGCCCACCGCGGAAGTCCTGGTGGTTCTTACGGCTCACGCCGCTCCACCAGGCGCTCTACACCACACAGCTGCTATGCAAATGAAGGGCAAGAGGGACACCACAACATGATTTTGGTCGCCACTAGGCCACTGTTGAAGGCGTTAGCGCGGGAGTGCCGGCCATGCCCGCCGTGGTGTGTCGGCACTCTCGTGTGCGAAGAGGCCATGGATGAATTGAAACAGTTTGCAGCGTTTCTCCGTCCCACGCCAGAGGAACTTTCATGTAGCGAGTCTGCCGTGGGTCTGGCGACGGGAATCATGCAAGCAGTGTGGCCTTTGGTCAAAATGAGTCCCATGTCAACAACAGCTGCTGGACTATCACCTCTGAAGGATGTCACACTGCATTACTATGCGGAAAACACTCCCGTTGCGCCAGACGATTTAGAGAGCATACAACTGAGGCTTCAGAGTGTTGCCAACGACCAGGGGGCGCAGGTGGAGTTTAGCACAGATTACAGAGACGTGACGTGTGTCGTGATGACAGATGCGCGATCTGGCAAGCGGCTCACCATCCGCTACGGTCCGCGCGCGTCACATGCTGGAGTAGCAGCACGCATCTTTCAGACAACAATAGCATCCAACGAGGAATATCACGCCACTCTTACAGTGCTTGACGCCCTCCTTCGCCAGAACAAGATTCTTGACGACGTCGGGACGAACATGGAGGCGGTGAATGGAGAAGCTCTCACCACAATGCTTGTTGCCATTATAAACTCTTACGGTCTCAACGATGCCCCCGATGCTGGCAGGCTAATGATGGACTTCTTCCTGACATTTGGCTTTCCGGCGAACTTCGACTTAGTAAAGAACTCGGTCACAGTGAAAGGAATGGCGGTAAACCCACCTTCAAAAGTGCACCGCAACGCACAAATAAGTATTCTTGACCCTTTTGACGAGGCACAAAATCTAACACCAAAGTTGGAGAAGGCGGCACACCTTCAAGCGGTGTTCAACTATTGTTACACAGCGCTCTCTCAGTACAAGCAAGTATCGCAACGACAGCGGCGGGCGCAATCTATCCTATCTACCATTATTGGTGGTGAAGCATACTGGGGACGTGTGCTGCAGCTTTATCATGAGGGAATATCACCCTTTGTGGAAGTCGTCAATGAAAAAAAACATTTACTTGCTCACGCGCTATAGACACTACAGCACAGTACGCATGTCGTTTATATACGCGACATTGGGCACGGTGGTTGTAATTAACTGTCACTCTTATGTGCGACTGTTCCTTGCAAACTGAAAACGACATTGCTCGTTCATAAGTTGGCTCATCTAACCGACGACTACCACGTACTTTCATGATTTACCGCTTCCATAGCCCACAAGTAAAATTTATGATTGCACTCTTGGACACAAGAATTTCACCATTGAAGTCTTAACTCTATGCATCTCTTGCTCTCACACCTTTTTGCCCCGGAACCATCACAGATACTTCACCGTAAAGGAAAAAGAGAATAACTAAGCACAAGTAAAACCGGTAAAACATGTTTGCTCGTCGAGTGTGCGGAACTGGAAGCCTTGCGGCGGCGTCGCTGGCCCGCTGGCAGTCGTCGAAGGTGTCGGGTGACGTGATCGGCGTCGACCTGGGCACCACGTACAGCTGCGTGGCGGTGATGGAGGGCGACAGACCGCGTGTGCTGGAGAATGCAGAGGGCTTCCGCACAACGCCGTCCGTTGTGGCCTTCAAGGGACAGGAGAAGCTGGTCGGCCTTGCGGCGAAGCGGCAGGCCATCACGAACCCGCAGTCGACGTTCTTCGCGGTGAAGCGGCTCATCGGGCGCCGCTTCGAAGACTCACACATCCAGCACGACATCAAGAATGTGCCGTACAAGATTGTGCGCAGCAGCAACGGCGACGCGTGGGTGCAGGACGCGAATGGCAAGCAGTACTCCCCCTCGCAGGTGGGCGCCTTCGTGCTGGAGAAGATGAAGGAGACGTCGGAGAACTTCCTCGGCCGCAAGGTGTCGAACGCGGTGGTGACGTGCCCCGCATACTTCAACGACGCGCAGCGCCAGGCGACGAAGGACGCCGGCACCATCGCGGGCCTGAACGTCATCCGTGTGGTGAACGAGCCGACGGCAGCGGCGCTCGCGTACGGTCTGGAGAAGACGAAGGACAGCATGATCGCGGTGTACGACCTCGGTGGCGGCACGTTCGATATCTCTGTGCTGGAGATTGCCGGTGGCGTGTTTGAGGTGAAGGCGACGAACGGCGACACGCACCTTGGTGGTGAGGACTTCGATCTCTGCCTGTCCGACTACATCCTGACGGAGTTCAAGAAGTCGACGGGGATCGATCTGAGCAACGAGCGCATGGCGCTGCAGCGCATCCGTGAGGCGGCCGAGAAGGCGAAGTGTGAGCTGTCGACGACGATGGAGACGGAGGTGAACCTGCCCTTCATCACGGCGAACCAGGACGGCGCGCAGCACGTGCAGATGACGGTGAGCCGCAGCAAGTTTGAGTCGCTGGCGGAGAAGCTGGTGCAGCGGTCCCTGGCCCCGTGCAAGCAGTGCATCAAGGACGCTTCGGTGGACCTGAAGGAGATCTCCGAGGTGGTGCTTGTCGGCGGCATGACGCGCATGCCGAAGGTGATCGAGGCGGTGAAGCAGTTCTTTGGTCGCGAGCCGTTCCGCGGCGTGAACCCCGACGAAGCGGTGGCGCTTGGCGCGGCGACCCTTGGCGGTGTGCTGCGCGGTGACGTGAAGGGCCTCGTGCTGCTCGACGTGACGCCGCTGTCGCTCGGTATCGAGACGCTCGGTGGCGTCTTCACGCGCATGATCCCGAAGAACACGACGATCCCGACCAAGAAGAGCCAGACCTTCTCGACGGCGGCGGACAACCAGACGCAGGTGGGCATCAAGGTCTTCCAGGGCGAGCGCGAGATGGCGGCCGACAACCAGATGATGGGCCAGTTCGACCTGGTGGGCATCCCCCCGGCCCCGCGCGGCGTACCGCAGATCGAGGTGATCTTCGACATCGACGCCAACGGCATCTGCCACGTCACGGCGAAGGACAAGGCGACGGGCAAGACGCAGAACATCACCATCACCGCCCACGGTGGCCTCAACAAGGACGAGATCGAGCGCATGATCCGCGACTCGGAGATGCACGCGGAGACGGACCGCCTGAAGCGCGAGCTGGTGGAGGTGCGCAACAACGCCGAGACGCAGGTGAGCACGGCGGAGCGCCAGCTGACGGAGTGGAAGTACGTGAGCGACGCCGAGAAGGAGAATGTGCGCACGCTTCTCGCGGAGCTCCGCAAGGTGATGGAGAACCCCAACGTGACAAAGGACGAGCTCTCCGCGTCGACAGACAAGCTGCAGAAGGCGGTGATGGAGTGCGGCCGCACAGAGTACCAGCAGGCTGCAGCGGCCAACAGCGGCAGCTCCAGCAGCAGCGGCAACCAGGGTGAGCAGCAACAGCAGCAGCAACAACAGCAGCAGCAGCAGGGCTCAGAGGAGAAGAAGGAGTAGGAAGTAATATTTTTGTGTGTGGTTAATGGTTAAGGTTGTAGGTATCTATCACTGGGGCTTACTGCTCTTCTTGCGGCTAACGTTTCGCTCGGTGAGTATATTTCAGAGGTAATGCCGTAGAATTAATGCAAGCTCTATTTGGTAAAACATAGTGAGGATGGCGGAGAGGCCAGATGGATGCTACATGATGGAGTGGACAATATGTTTTTTTTTAAACGGTGAAGCTTTTTTTTTTGTTTTTTTTTTTAGTGTATTAAAGTTGAGCTATCCTTGACTGTATCTTCTTCTCTGTCGTGGGGTCTTTGTCTTCGCCTTCAGTATTTTAGCGATCTCTCTCCGTGTTTGCTCGGCTCTACTATAATGCTTAGGGACAGCAGTGCAGGCAGAACCTGTGGCGAAGGCCAGGGCCCGCATCTTTGGTATTGGTGCGTGTGTTCGTCTTGCAAGACGTTGCAGCATCCGCACCTGCGTTTAACGTTAGGGCCCGTCTCCTGTTAGGTGTGGGCGTTACCATAGAAGCGACGTTGGGGTTGGCATGCGTCGTTCATTATGGTTGCGTGTGAAGGACCCCTTCACGGTACTAGGGCTGACGCGTAGCGCCTCAAAGGCGGAGGTAAAGACGCGCTACCGCGAACTGGCGCGGCTGCACCACCCGGACGCGGGAACGGGTGATAGTGCGAAGATGGAGCAGATCAACAAGGCGTACAACCTGCTGCTGAAGGAAGGTGTGTATGAGCGGCTGCGTCTGAAACCGGCTGGGGCAAAGGCGCGTGATGATCCACGCCGCCCGAACCCCTTCTCGCAGGATCAACAAGGAGAACAGGAGAAAAAACGGGGAGGAGCTGAAGAGGAGGTGCTGACAGATGAAGAGGTGGCGAAGGTAAGTGCGCTCGACCCCGCCACGGAGCGTGTGGTGCCTGGTGGGAAGTACATGTACCAGAGTCGCGACGACGGCAGCTGGGTGGAGCTGGACCGGCCGCTAGTGCACGCGCACCAGCCGCGCTACGCTTCCTTTGCGGCGCAGGCAGAGATGTCCGCTGAGCTGCGCCGTCGGTCGATGGAGAGGGAGAGGGAGGAGAACGCAAAGACGTTATTTCAGCGTACGGTGGACCGGATGAGCGATAGTGCAGACTTGCCTACGCGCAATCCGACGCTGTTGCGACTTTACTTTGTTCTGGCAGGGGTGGTGTTCTACTTGATGTACCAGCGAGCATTCATGTGGGGTAAGCACCGACGTGGCCGTGCCAGCTTTTACAGCACGGTGGAGCAGCAGCGGCAGGAGCTCCTGAGTGTGTACGAGGAGCACCGCGACGGTCTGGAGGCATCCGTCGCTGCCGCCGCAGTTGTGTTCCTCGCGGCGAGCGAGCACAAGCAGGAGGCGGACCCTATCGTCCCGCCCACGCCGGAGAAGTACTTCAAGGGGGTGCAGCCACCGCGGGAGCATTTCCATGTGGTCTCTGGCGGATAGTGTTGTCATTGCATTAGTCGTTTTGAGGCAACAATATGCGTGATTTTGTCAACTTCCCTTGTTGTTGTTGTTGCTTTTTGTGTTTGTGGGGTGAGTCTTTGATTTTGTTCTTCGATGCTTCTGATAATTCCGAATATGCATTTTCAGTTCTTTCCTTTTTTCCTCTTCCGGGCGTGTTTTTTTTGGGGGGGGTTTGTATTGGGGAGAAGCGTGAAGAGGGAGACAAAGCCAAAGCAGCAGCGGCAGCAGCAGCAGCAGGCTTGGGGCAGAAAACCAAAAACAAAACAAAAAAAAATTAGGCTACAGTCTCATCTTTATTTTTCGTAGAGAAGAAGAGAGTGAAGCAAGTGCTTGTTGTGTATAAATTATGCAATCCCGCCTCGGCCGACCTGACATGGACGAGGTGCTCGATGCAGACATGCAAGGAACACCACCTCATGCTCCGTTGTGTAGCGATGAAGAAGTTGGGGACAACAGGGGCGAAAGCGACTCTGATGAATCGGAGTGGGGAACTGTGAGGGGCAACTTCCGCATCAACGACATCCTGAGGGATAGAGATGGTGGTGGTGACGCGGAGGAGGAAGGGGAGATACAGCTGTACGTGCCAGAACCCGTCGTTACTCTTTGCAGCAGCAGCAATCAGAAGCCGGATGTACCACGCCTGCCAATCGAGAGCTTCCCTTTTGGACGCCGTGTGTGGGTTGTGGACGAAGAGGACGTGCATCTGCTGCTGCGCGAGTACTGGGATGACTCCTACCGCGCTGTGTGTAATGGTAGATTGTCTGGAACAGTAGTGCGGCACTCATACAACTTAACGCTCGTACTCTTTCACGACTCACACCTTGATGTGACCTTTAGTCTGAGCCTGCCGCGCGCCTGTCTGTCAACGGCTCCCATCGAAGCATACAGCCGATCACCGCACGTCAGTAGCGGTCTCCTCAACTCGTACTTTGGCATTGGTAATCTCGGTCCACGAACGGGGCGGGGCCGCGAGGAATCCACAGCGACGGCGTTAATAAAACGACAGTTCTACGAGGCCCTGCCGGTGATGGAGGTGCAGGTGCAGCAGGGTCTGCCACGTTTGAGCTTGGCACAGGATTTACTCCTTGAAGGGGCATTTGAGGAGGCTCTTGCGCTTCTGAATGAATTGCTTGCTGGGGCATCTGAAAGAGCCGATGTATTAGTTCTGCGCTCTCGCGCAAATATTTTCCTTGAAAAGTACGAGGAGGCGCTGAGGGATGCGTTGGATGTGATTGCCTTGAACCCACATTGGGTGAGGGGTTACCTTAGCGCCGCACGGGCTCAGAGTGGACTTGGGAAGTTTTCAACTGCTGCTTCGCAAATCAATCGGGTCATGTTGATGCTACCTCATAGTCGAGAGCTGCGCAAAATCGAGGAGCTCAATGCTTTTCTGCAGAATCTGCAAAGGGAACTACCAAGCAAGGATTTGAGTCTGTATTTGGATTTCCGTTACGCGAAGCAGCTTCTCGCGTGTCGCCGGTTTAGGAAAGCTGATGTTGTGTATAGTGAAGACCGAGCGGTCCTTGCAATGGAGTCCATATTCTCGGATTCCCCGTCCCGCTGCTGTGTGTGCCTGAAGCCCCGCGGGGAAATGATGCGTGTCCCCGTAGAGTCTGGCGGTTGTGGCGCCTCCGAGGAGCTTGCATGCTACTGTAGTGTGGAGTGCCAGCAGCGATCGTCGCTCTTCTTCGCAATGGAGCTTGGTCGTCACCGTGCTGCAGTGAGGGATGCGCGCGATCTCATCTCCGTCACCTCCACGATGCGGATGCGGCACGCACCGCTCGACATGGCGTGCATGGCGGTGCGGCTATACTTGATGATCTGTGTCACACACGAACGACTCTCGTCGCAGCAGCGTCGCCACGCCGATAGCAGCACGTCGCTGGCGGGGGGTAGTCAAAGCGCCGGCTCCAATGCAGGTGGCCTGCTGCCGCTGCAGGCCGCGCTAAAGCACCTTGGCGTTTTCCCGCTCCCCACTGACACACTGGGTGCACGTGTGCGGGATGAGATGTGCGTGGTGTACGACACACTCACACGGACCTTCACGGAGGATGAGAAGCAGATGTATCCACTCGCCTTCTTCTACGCGCTGTACGAGTACGTGCGCACGTTTGCTGTTTCCGTCGTGGTGGAGGGAGAGAAGCCTGACTGCAGACTGTACTATCTGCCGAAGCTGCTGGGGGCGGTGCGTCGCGTTGAGCCAGCGAAGGCGAACTGCGTTGTTTCGATTGATCACGCCACTATGCGTATGTCGCTGGTTGCGGTCCGGGACATTTTATCCGACGAGACGCTATCCATTCCCATGTGGGATGCGGCCAACACGCGGTGAAACCCCGCACTGATCACCGATGATTAACTCAAACCCCCGGGTGCTTCTGCCCTGTAGACTGCAACAAGTACAATTGTCTGAATTACCGCATCGGTTGAGGTCGACGACTTTTTCGTTCCCATACAGCCTCCTCACCACTATCCTTCTTACAAGCTCATTGCCCTTGCTGCAAGTGTCGTTGTTGTTCACTCCTCCCTAATGTGGTCTTATTGAAATGCACTCTTGTGCTCTCTTTCTTTCTTTCTTTCTTTCTTTCTCTCTCTCGATCGCTCTCTCTCTCTCTNCTTTTCTCTCCCCCCCCCCCCTCTTGGTGTGTCATTCTCTCTCTCTTTGCTTCTAATCACACTCCGTGTGGCGTAGGTTAGGGATAGCTGATATCACCTTCCTTAGAGCGCGAGGGTTCGCTGTGCAACAACAAAAAAAGAAGAAAAAAGGCTGGAAGAAGAACATAGAGAGAGAGAGAGGGAATTGTGTTGTTTTGTTTGTTTTTAAGATCGGCAGTAAGAGGAAAAAGACAAAAAAAAGGGAAATATACACATTTGGTTTTGTTTTGGTTTAGAGGCCTTCCTTCACCCCCCGGCCTTTCTTAGTCGTGCAGCTTCTTCTGTTGTCGTGGCGATTGTTCTTATTGTTGTTTATCATCTTCGTTAGTTTCGGCTGCTGGTGTTGGTGTTGTTTTTTCTTGTATCTTTCTACTTAGTTCGCCTTGCGCTGCTGTGCTGATTTGGACGTCATGCCCTTGTCATCTCTGTCGCTCTCGCAGCTGCGCCACAGCGTGGAGCTCTTCCCTATGCTGACGCTGTGCAACTGCGTGAGTGACGCGGAGGATAGTGGAAACGGACCACGGTACTGCGCCCAGGACAAGATCACCAAGTGCATGTACGAGGTGCGCTGTGTTCCGCTGGGGCAAGCAACAGAAGAGACCGGTGCGGAGGCGCGGCAGCAGCAGCAGCAGGAACGACTGGATGCTTTGATTGCAGCCTCACAGCGGCAGGACCTGTCACCTGCTGTCTCCCTCCCCATCGATGTGTACGTGCAGGAGCTGGCATCCACCAAGGAGCCTTTTGTTGTTTCTGTGTCCACGTACACGGGTCTCTCACTTGGCGATGTGATACGCTCCGGTTGGCGGCTCGTCGAGGAGGCGGACTTTGAAGACATCCTCAACTGTGTCGAGGAGTACGGTCTGGAGAGTTTGAGACTTCCGCCTCACCGCAATTTGAGTTTCAGCGCGCTGCGACGGCAGCTTAATGTTCGGCCTGGTGCTGTGGAGGTGAGCCACCGCTCGCGATGGGTGATTGGTGACTGGCTGCTCGTTGGGGAGAATGCCACGCTCGCGACGCCGGACGAGGTGGTTGGTGACTTGGAGTGGCTTCTGCACTCAGCCTTTTCTCAGTTAAACGTCTCGTGTGACCGTGACGGGACTGTGCTACGCAAGGAGGTGGTGGAGTTGCGCATCAACGAGACGATTGAACGCATTCGCGAAGGTGTCAAGAGTGGAGTGCGGTATATTTCAAAGGCGATCCAGGACGGCAGCCAAGTGGAAGACAATGAACGAATGGAGGGGGAAACGATGACGGAAATAGCAGAAGAAGCGTCAACTCCGAACGCGGTAGCGACGACGGCGAGTGGACTGTTCGACCGCGTCACCACGCACCAGCAGAAGTTCCGTGAGGAGCAACAGATCGTGCGAAGTTACCGCGTGCAGGCGCGGGGGCGTGGCGTTCCCACCAGCAGGCGCCACAGCGAGACGAGCGTCGACGACGTGGAGGGCGCGCGGCGGGGATCGCGTTTCTGGGGGACGCTGCGCCCGAGTGTGGCGCTCTGCGACATCTCACCAGCGGCAGAGCGCGGCCAGCAGGCACTCGATGGCAGGGAGGATGACGTCGTGACAGCCGTCACGGAGATGCTAGACGCAAGCTTGTTGCGCGACCAGAAGAACCACGAGGCGGAGCTGGATGCAGCGCGCTTGCATCGGGAGGCACTGTGCACGATGTTACTGCGGTCAGCGGTGATATCGGCCAAGCGCAGCAAGTCCCCGCTCTCCCTCTCGCGGCCCAAATCACACAGTGTCTCAGGCTTAATACCAGAGGAGGCAGCAACAGTAGAGAAGCAGCGTGTAAGCCGCTCCGGTTCCGTTGATAATTCAATAATCATTCGGGTAAGCTCCTCCCCCGCTACGCAGCGGCGTGAGCCGCAACACGGACGAGGTTCACGCGTCTTTTCGCCACCGAAAAGAAATGGCGATAATGCTGTGGCATCACGCCACGATATGCACACCGCTTCTGAGGAGCGGTCATTTCAGAAGGATTCCTCCCCTGTGAGGAAGGAAGTGCCCATGCTCTGTCTAAAGAACATTCTCGAGAACCCCCCGAACGGCATCAACTCTGGCAGAAGGAAGGAGCAGCATGTGTTGTCACCAAAGAAAACCACATTCTCTGGTATGTGTGCGGTGGAGAAGCCACCGTTCCTCCAGGCATTTATTCATGGGAGAACACCGCGTTCCGCAAACGGGCGTCCGAGATTTTTGACAAGCGCCAGAGCTTACATCCGTTCCGCGCCACGACGTTCTGGGTGGAAGACAACGTCGCCTTCCCAGTCCGTGAGTTACAACAAAGGCGCGTGCGCACCGATGAACCCTCATGTTGTTGCCACACCACGCAATAGTGGAGAGAAGATCGACATACTGGACAAGTCATGGCAGAACAAGGGCCCTTATCGGCTGCCCTCAAGGCGCACACGAAGCGCCGGAGGTGCCACCAGCATATCACGAAGCCAGGTTCGCCCTGTGAACGAGGCCTCACTGGGCATCACAATGAGACGCCGTCAAGCTGGGGTTTGTGACGGTATCATCTGAGAGATGGGAATGCGCCCCCAATGGGCTTGCGTCTCATCAGAGATGGAAACCATTGTGTGCTTTTTTTTGTCTTGTGGTTTGTGGAACCCCCCTTGGCCGTTAAGTTGTGTTTTTTCCCTTTTTCGAATTATTT